AATGAGGGAGGCTGGAAAAATCAATTTACCTAAACTGCAATTTATGCAAAATCCACAAGCACCTTTTATGACCTGCCTTCGCAGCAAGCCAGTTGTTACCAGGTTCCACTGGCTTCCAGTTTCTTAGCAAATTCCCCCTAAAGTGCTAATTCTCACTTTTCAAATCTTTCAATATGCCTGCCACACCCTAGCTGTTGGCCTTTGCTGTGCACTGCTACTTAGATGCCGCCATTCTGTTTGCTTCCCACTCCAGTATCCATACTGTTAGCAGTTCTCCGTATAATGTCATGCCTCCGGGCAGTTTGCACAGTATTAGTTTAGCTATTTATTTGAGGCTATCAGACCAGAGCCTGATTCTACCCTCACTGAACAGTCAAGCACTTACTTTATAGCATAGGTGACCAGCTAGTATTCAGAACAATAATTTTAATAGGTTTTCTCACAGTTGTACAGTCCCCAGCTGAAATTAGTTAAGTCAGCATAGACATTAAAACTACAGCTGGTGATATTCACTCCAAATGCCACTGGACAAAGTTCAGTCTATTCCTGTTAAATCTTTCCATTCCCCTCCTCCCATCATACACTTGTGGTAATTTGATGGTAATTGTGCAATCTACCTTCTTTTAGGAGCAAGAAGAAAACAAAGGAGCTACAAGCTGGCCGGAGTTTTACATTGATCAGTTAAACTCTATGGCAGTTGTGAGTATTCATTTTACTGTTCTCTACAGTTATAAACCATGCTATTCATCAAGTGTAGCCTTAGTTCTGATAGTGTTTTTTAAAATGCATTTGTTATTTGAAGAAGTTTTTTTGAGAAAGGTAGTGAATGGGAGTAAGTGGAAAATAGCAATTATATTGAAGCTCAATTTGGAATTTTAGGTTTCTCTCAATATTAACCTTTAATTCAAACTTTTAGAACAGTGTGTGGAATTTTGCACCTTTTAATTCTGGACTGCGGTAGCTCATTTCTCACATCGTTCTTAACTAATAATGTCTCAAGTGACAAATTCCATAAACTGGTAAATGTACTTTCGCTCATGAATTATAGGTTTTTTTAGCACTTATCAAAGCAATGATAATAAAGGCCCATCTTTTATTTCTCTTTTTAAATGAATTAGTATCTACTTTGTTTTGCCTTTCTAATCAATGTTTACCTCAAAAGTATTGAGACTAGAGCTCTGTGTATACTGACAGTGTTCTGATATTTCACTGAGCAGTTATTCTGTTGCATGAACCTTACCTCTGAATGCTGATGGGCTATTGAAGCGCAATGGAGCGTTGCAACCAAACGTGATTCTCTCCTCTCTCGGTATCTGCTTGTGCACTTCCAGAAAGGGCTAATGGTTGCCATCAAGATGGGAATTTATTTTTTCCCTTCTGACCCAGAGGTATAAAAATCAGTTGCAGTATTCCTACTGCTAGTATAGCTGAAATCTATAACTCTGCATAGATCAAGAACTAAAACTAGGACGTTCTTGATCTGTGTGGTCCAGATCTTCGCTGGATAACTTAATGAGCTACTTTAAACACTCGGTCTTTATTATGGATCTCAGCTTGGGATGTAATAATAAAGCTACTACTGTTTAATTTGATTTATTATTGTCACGTGTACCAAGATGTAGGGAAACGTAATTTTTTGTGTACTATCTAGACGAATCACACCTTACATAAGTACATCAAGGTAATAAAATAGAATGCGGAGCGTAATGTTTCAGCTATGAAGAAGGTTCAGAGAAAGATCAACTCTAATATGAGAGGTCCATTCATAAGTCAATTCTGCGTCAGAATGCTCAGTACACTAAATAGAACTGGCCGTGTTTGCATTGGAAATGTTTATTTTGTGTTGAATACAACTTCACTTAGTACAATTTTTGACATCCTTTTGATGTACCTTAGGAATGCTTCCACTTCCACAGTGCTGCAGTGTAGCTGATCCTAAATTTAATGTTGGGTTTGAGGGAAGAAGGGAGTTACAAACCTAAGTTTTAAATCTAAGGCAGACATCAAAAGGATGAGGAACAATTGGAACAAAGAAAACTGGAATGAACTACTAGATACGAAACACGTAAATTATTTAGTTCATTACAATACCTGTGCTCATCAAGGGCAAATGTAGACTCCATTTATTCAGTTGCACAGCCAGAGTTAATACTTAAATGTATTTGAACCACTTCAAACTGAAAGAACAATTGCTCTCATACGCATAAAAATATAGAAGTTCAGGCAGGAAGTGTTTTAAAAATGAATGAAAGAATATAAAGTAAGTAAGGTACAAAACATGAATATGAAATTCTTGCAAGCAATGTTGTGAAGTAAACATCAAAATGTTTGTAAATGCATTGAGACAATAGTTGTAAAATGGGAATATGGACCCTACCTTAAAATAAAGGTGAGACCAAATTTGACAATAAGGAAATAACAAACTTGTTAAACAAATACTGTATGTCTGTTCTAGAACGAAGGGGAAAAAACAAAATACCAGCAATTGTAATTGCTGCACTATTGACGGCATTGCCTTCAGCTGTCAAGTGCCTGTGCAGAATTCTGTAGGGAGTTCCTTCTGCTACATCCAGCTTGTTTTGCTAATATCTTTGTGGCATTATTATCAGGAAACACACTTGCAATGAGTGGTTTGTATTTGGAACATACGCCTTGTGTGTGTAATCGAGGTAGTTTCAACTGAAGCATTTAAAAGGGAATTATAAGATTTTAATCTGAAAAAGAAGAATGTGCAGGGTTACAGGGAACGGAAGGAGAATAAGATGTTCTTTTGGAGAGCCTTTTTTTCTGACAATTCTGCAATTCTATGTTAGAGGTACTGTATAAATACAAGTCAGCTGTTGGTTAAAGAGAATTTTAAAGATAAATTGAGCAGAGAAACTTGGGTTAATACAAATTTTGGGGAAAAATGTAATAGAGAAAATAATGGGACTTATGATGGCTAATCCTCAGGACCTGATGTATCATGAGGTAGAAACTTACAAGAAATAGGTTAGCAAATTGTAAATCCATAAGTAGTATTTCCCAGGAATCTCTTGATGCTTCTATTATTTTTAATTAGTTTTATTTGGAATATGGATGAAGTAGCGGAGAGTCCTATTTCCAAGGTTGCAGGGGACACCAAGTTAAGGAATGTGAATCAAGGTGTGTGATAAAACTTGTTGGTATTTCTGGGGAGGGTCAGAAAGCACACAACCCCAGGTTACAGTTCAACTGGTTTATTTGAAAACACAAGCTTTAGGAGTCTTACTCCTGCTGTTAGCGAGAGAGGTAGTATGGGAAACAGAATGAATAAGTAAACGATCAAAGGGTCACACCACTGATGAGGGTGCATATTGACCAAATATCAAGTTTCTACAGAAATGCAAGAAAACACAAGATTCTGAAAGGACTGCAGATCGTGAACCCACTGAAGTCGACACTGATTACGCTGAGAGACTTTGCCGGTGCACCTATCGCAAACTCCTCAATCATCTCGTACACTAACTCTATAGCAAACGCCGTAACCTTGAAATTGAGGTAGAATCCATATTCTCAGCTTGGGCTCAAGATATAGTTATATAGTACAGTTATGAGACACTCCCAAACAGATGAGGCAACTGAACTACAATAAGAGCAAGAGGCTGGAGAAACTTGGCATCATCACCAGCAATAACCAAGTCTTCCCTGGTACCATGGTTAAAAGCACGGGAAAATCCATCGTCAACTTATCTGACCACCCCCTTCAAACAAACGAGAGTGAAGTTCTCAGCCGAGGACTCAATTTCTGCTCCACCACCAAAATGGACCTCGTTGGTCTCGCGGCAGACACAGGAATTCATCAGATGAGACTGGGAATTCTTCCAAGATGTCAGCAGTGAGCCCAATGAGACAGCCAATGAACTGGATCAGTCAACAGAGATCCATGGGGGAGCGGGCAAAGGAGTCATCAGATTGGACCCCTGTGGATGGCTGCTGCTTGGGGCTTGACAGATATGCTCAAGCCATAAGAGAATGTGTGAACGACAGATTAATCAGCCGCACTCACAAGCTAGTGCAAAACGTCACCCAGGTACAACTCAACACCATCCATGCTCTCAAGATCAACTGCAACATTGTCTGCTGGTTTGATGATAAAGGGGGAGCCATTGTCACACAGAATAGAACGGACTACTGCAAGGAAATGTACCGACAATTGAATAACCTGGAACACAGACACGGACCTACCAGTCCAACCAAAGAACATACCCGTCAACTGAACAGACTGGTCAAGACTTTGATCCAGTCCTTCAGAGTACCCTACACACTCTCCTCCTGGGTAGGGGACTTCTTCTGCCTTCCAAAGATACACAAAGCTAACACACCTGGGTGTCACATCATATCAGGCAATGGGATTCTGTGTTAGAACCTCTCTGGTTATGTCAAGGGCATTTAAAACCCATTGTACAGGGAATGCCCCAGGTTCTGTTGCAGCACTACAGATTTCTTTCAAAAACTCAACACCCACGGACCAGTCAAACCAGGATCATTCCTTTTCACAATGGACGTTTCGCACTCTACACCAGCATCCCCCACTACGGTGGCATTGCCACAACAGCCTCAGTGCTCAATACCACCAACCACCAATTTCCAGACGACATCCTACAACTCATCCGCTTCATCATCGACCACAACGTCTTCACCTTCAACAACCATTTCTTTATAAAGACACACGGAACAGCCATAGGGACCACATTTACTCCTCAATATGCCAAAATTTTCATGCCGAGGATTGAACAAGACTACTTTGCACTGAACCTCCGACCAATGCGATACACCAGATAAATGTCAACATTTTCTTCCTTAGGACTCATGGCGAGGAATCACTGAAAAAACTGCATGGAGATGAGTTTCATCCCACCATCACACTTACCATGGACTACTCTTTTTAGAATCAGTCTCATTCTTGGACACACACATCTCCAAGGATGGACACCTCTGTACGTCACTCTACCACCAGCCCACGGATAACCTCACGATGCTGCATTTCTCTAGCTTCCGCCCAAAACACATTAAAACAACCATCCCCTATGGACAAGCCCTACATATACACAGGATCTGTTCAGATGAGGAGGAACAAGACAGACACCTGAAGGTGTTGAAGGACATCCTCATAAGAACAGGATACGATGCTCAACTCATCGATTGCCAGTTCTGACATGCCACTGTGAAAAAAACCGTAATGACGTCCTAGAAGACAGACACAGGATACATAGGGTACCCTTCGTCGTCCAGTACTTCCCGGGAGTGGAGAAACGACACCATGTTCTTTACGGCCTTCAACGCATTATTGATGACTATGAGCACCTCGCCAAGATCTTCCCCATGCCTCCGCTTCTCGCCTTCAAACAACCACCAAACCTTTAAACAGGCCATTGTTCGCAGCAAACTACCCAGCCTTCAGGACAACATTGACCACAACACTATACAACCCTGTCATGGCAACTTCTGCAAGACGTGTCAGATCTTCAACAAGGACACTACCATCACACGTGGAAACATCGCCCACCAAGTGGATGACAGATACACATGTGACTCGGCCACCATTGTCTATTTCATACACTGCAGGCAAGGATGTCCCGATGCATGGTATATCAGCGAAAGCTTGCGAACACTATGACAACGGATGAATGGACAGTGCACAACAATTGCCAAACAGGGATGCTCCCTCTGTGGTGGACGCTTCAGCGGTCAAAGACATTCAGCCTTGTGTCCTCCTAAGGCGGACTTCGGTACTTCGGTGTACACAACAACGCAGAGTAGCTGAGCAGAGGCTGATAGCCAAGCTCGTTACCCATGAGGACCTCAACTGGGATCTTGGGTTCATTGCATTGCAGGTGGCCCCACCACACTACATGCACGTGCACTCTCTCCCTCCCTCCCCCTCTCTTTCTTTTTCTCCCTTTCTCCGTGCCTCTCCCTTTCTCCGTGCCTCTCCCTTTCT